TCTTTCTTTCTCTCTTTCTTATCTATCTATCTATCGATCTATCTATCTATCTATCTATCTACCTACTCTTTCATAAACACCGAAAGCTCTAATTCACGGGACACGGAGAAACCCCTAAACCCTAAGCAAACCCTAAACCCCTAAACCCTAAAACCCTAAACCCTAAACGAAACCTAAACCCTAAACCCCTAAACCTTAAAACCCTAAACCCTACACTAAACCTAACCCTAAACCCCTAAACCCTAAAACCCTAAACTAAACCTAACCCTAAACCCCTAAACCTTAAAACCCTAAACCCTAAACTAAACCTAACCCTAAACCCCGAAACCCTAAAACCCTAAACCCTAAACTAAACCTAAACCCTAAACCCCTAAACTCTAAAACCCTGAATCCTAAACTAACCCTAAACCCTAAACCCCTAAACTCTAAAACCCTAAACCCTCAACCCAAACACGGAGGGCCAAGCTCTGGACCTCCTCCGAGGCCACCTTCGGTGGGGCTTTCTTTCCAGGGTTCCTTATACGCCAAGCCCGTAACCCTACTCCTCCAAAAAACAATACCCTAAACCCTAATCCTTAAAAAACCATAAACCCTAATCCCTAGTATGGCTTCTTTTAGATTAGCGCTTAAAAAAAGGATTAGGGTTTAGGGTGTTTAGAGTCTACTAGAGGCGTCTGAATAATTAGAACAGGAGTTTGGGAGTATATTCTAGTAAAATGCTTACAACAGGAACCCCAAAAATGAGTCCCCAAAACGGTACGGGTAATTCGTTAGGCCCCTCCTAAATGGCACACGCCTCGGCATGGAAAGTGTAACCCAGAGACTCCGTTATCCCTTAATTAAGGAATATACCTTAAATTATAATAGGAACCCTAATGAGATTTAAGGGTATATTCCTTAATTAAGGAATATACCTTAAATTATAATCGGAACCCTAATGAGATTTAAGGGTATATTCCTTAATTAAGGAGTATTGGAGTTTTCTGGGAATGCCTGGAGGGCTAGGTTCGTCCCCTCTTTCGAAAGCCTGGCCTTGGATCTGGCAATGCCCTTGTGCCAGCTAGGCCTAGGCACCTCTGTTAGACCCTAAACACCCTAAACCCTAGACCCTAGACCTCACGCCTAAACCCTAAACCTTAAAGACCCTAAACCCTGATAGAAGCCCTTTGAAGGGACCCCAATCTGCATATCGAGGCCCCGCCCCTACACTATAGTACCCTCTCATGATCCCTTCTTCGTCGTGATGTCTTGAACCCCTCAGCCGTAGAGCCCCGAATCCTTGCCAGCCCCATTTTAAAGGAAACTACAGGTGGGGAGTTTAAGGTATATAGGGCTTCTATAAGGCTTCTATAATATATATATATATACATATGTATATATATGTATATATATATGTATGTATATATATATACACACACACCTTCTATAAGGTTCCTATAACGGTAACTACCCACCTGAAAATGCCACTGCGAGTGACGCCAAAACCTAAGAAGCCCCCGAACCTTCGACTCGGTCGAAACCCTGAAGCTACAACCCCTCTAAGCGGATTTAGGGTTTAGGGTTTAGGGTTTAGGAACCCCAAGACCCCCCCACCCAACAAAAAAAAAACAAAACACCTTTCAAACACCACGCAAAACCAAAAAAAACACCTTAAACCCGAAACCTGAAGCCCTATAGACCTACATAGACCCAAAATCCCATGCACAAAGAAACCCTAAACCCCAAACCCTATAAACCCCACAAAGAAGCCCTAAACCCCAAACCCTAAGAAACCCCACAGAGAAGCCCTAAGCCCTAAACCCTATATAAACCCCTCAAAGAAACCCTAAACCCTATATAAACCCCACAGAGAAACCCTAAACCCTAAACCCTATAAACCCCACAGAGAAACCCTAAACCCCAAACCCTATATAAACCCCACAGAGAAGCCCTAAACCCTAAACCCTATATAAACCCCTCAAAGAAGCCTCCTTCTGGGCTCAAAAGGTGGGATGATGGTAGGTAGGATTAGGGATCCCTTATTGTAAGGACTCTTATTTACGGTTTTGGGTTTTAGGGTTTAGGGCTATAGGGTTGAGGGTTTAGTTCTTAGGGTTTAGATGTTAGGGGTTTAGGGTTTAGGATTACGGAAACCCTTATTGTAAGGACTCTTATTTGGGAATATCCCACCTACCTTCATCCCACCTTTGGAGGCCTCCGATCCTTCTATAGACCCAAAATCCCATGCACAAAGAAACCCTAAACCCTAAACCCTATATAAACCCCTCAAAGAAACCCTAAACCATATAAATCCCTCCTTCTGGGCTCCGGGCCATTAATTATAAGGGCCTCAATATTATGATTTCAGGTACATTCCGTAATTAAGGGGTATTGGGCTCTCTGGGTAGCTAAGGCAAGGGCCATGTTGCCAAAGCTCATCGACCGCAGCGCTGAGGAAACTTCCGGACCTCGGCCAGTCTCCGGTGCTTGGGGGACTAGGGGAATTTAGGGGTTTTTAGGGGGTTTTAGGCTGGTGGGGTTTTTAGGGGTTGTTAGGGTTTTTTGGGTTTTTAGGGGTTTTTAGGGGCTGTTAGGGTTTTTAGGGGTTTTTAGGGGCTTAGGGTTTAGGGGGTTTGGGGGTTTAGGGTTTAGGGGTCAGGGGTTTAGGGGTTTAGGGCTTTTAGGGGTTTAGGTGTTTTAGGGTTTAGGTGTTTTAGGGTTTAGGGGTTTAGGGTTCAGGGGTTTAGGGGTTTAGGGTTTTTAGGGTTTAGGGTTTAAGGGTTTAGGGTTTAGGGTCTTTCTTTCTCTCTGTCGCCTTGTTTTTTTGGATACTTCTGCTATTGATATGGTTCGTTGTTCATGACATTACCAATAATTAGTAGTTGCCGGCTGTATGTTGTTCGTCCTTTTGGATGACTTATCGGTTTGAGACACAGACAACTGTTGCTTGCTACTTCCTTTTTCCGGGCCGGGGGCTTCAACCGGAGAAGCATAGCAGGGTTTCATAGTCGACCTAAATAGCCTCCCCTTTGGAAGACTTCCATGGGCAGTTCTCTAAGTTGGGCTTCCTTTTTAGGTCCCGGAAGTAGTACGGCGCCCTTATGAAAAGGGCCCTGAAAAGCACACTAATTTAGGAAACTACCCACATAAGGAAGCCATGCATGGGGAACCCGGAAAAGCAACCCTGAACCCCAAAACCCTACACCCTAAAACCCTGAACCCTAAAAACCTAAACCCTACACCCTATATAATCCCTAAACACTAAACCCCTAAACCCCTAAACTCTAAACTCTAAACCCTAAACCCTAAAACCCTAACGCCCTAAACCCTAAACCCTAAGCCCCAAACCCTAAACTACAAAAACCCTAAACCCTAAACCCTAAAACCCTGAACCCAAAACCCTAAAACCCTGAACCCTAAACCCCAAAAAGGAACCCAGGCCCTCGAAGCCGAAGCCGAGCACGCGGCTGAGCACGGAGCTTCGCAGCACACGGTAGGAGCTACGCCTTGGAAATCTGCTTCGAGTTGAGGTTTCGAGTTTTAGGTGGTTTAGGGTTGTTTCAGGATTATAGGGTTTCGGGTTTAGAGTTTCGGGTTTTAGGCGGTTTAGGGTTTAGGGGTTTAGGGATTTTTAAGGGTTATGGGGCTTAGGGTTTATAGGGGTTTGGGTTTGGGGGTTTCGGGTTTTAGGCGGTTTAGGGTTTCTAGGAGCTTAGGATTCAGGGTGTAGGGTTATAGGGTTGTAGGGTTAAGGGTTTAGAGGTTTAGGGTTTAGGGGTTTGGATTTGGGGNNGTTTCGGGTTTTAGGGTTTGGGGCTTCAGCGGCTAGAGGTTCGGAGTTGGTGGTGGCTCTGCAAAAAAACACAGCACCCCCTTGCAAGTCTGATGGACGCCTTTCCAACACCCTAAAAACACTCCTGTATTGTAAGGCTCAATAATTACAGTAAGGCTTTGGGTCATGTAGG